TCAAAAGACTCTAGCTTTCAGGATAGATTAAAACTCAACACCAAGAAAACAAAAATACTCATATCTGAATCAACAGGCAGCATCATGATAGATAGAGAAAATAGTTGTCAATGATTTCATTTTACTTGGCTCCACAATACACATGCAAGGAAACAACAGTCCAAAAAAAAAAAAAAATAAAAAAAAAATCAAAAGATATGGTGCACTGGGAAAATCTTTTGTCAAGGACCTTTTAATTAAAAAAGTTAATAGTCAGAAATGTCAGTTTAAAACTAAAGTACACTTGACCCAAGTCATGGTATTTCTAATTGTTTCTTATGTTACTGACAATGAAAGTTGCAGAATGAATAAGGATTAAAGAATTGATGCCTTTGATTGATATACCATGGACTGTCAAAAGAAATAAAGAAATTTGTTGTGGAAGAAGTGCAGTCATAATTAGGATGGTGAAACTTTGTCTCACATTCGTTGCACAAATTATCAGTCAGAGTCAGTCTCTTGATAAAAAGACATCATGCCTGAAAGAGTAAAGGGTCAGGGAAGGAGAGAAAGACTCTTGATGAGATGAATTGCCAGTGACTGCATAATGAGTTTAGGCAAAGTAGAGATTGTAAGAAACAGATTTGGCCAGGTTTCATTCTGTTGTACAAAAGATCTATATGAGTTGTAGCCATCTTGGGCATTTAATGGCAACAGTATTCAGAGTAGCTGGCAAACTGTGATGCTAATATTTACTCATGTTAATGTATACACATTAGGTTTTTATCGTTAGTTTTTGGGAAAACTCTTACAAATACATAATATAGTGTTTAAAGTAAATATGTATATTGTTTTTGTGTTTTGTAATGATCTTTTGCTTTCTTCATGGATATCTCTGATACCACCCCACAACTAATCTGGTCTTCTATCATTGGTGTTCAATGCCTCAAACCTGTTCTTTAGATGATCATAAAATTCAGATGGAATTGATTCAAGATCATATCTTGGTTCCTATGGACTTGCTTTCATTTTCTTCAGCCTCAATTTGAACTTGCATATGAGTAATTGATGACCTGACTCACAGTCTTCCCCTGGCATAACTCTGACTGCCGATATTGAGCTTCTCCAACGACTTCTGATATCGTCTGTTATCTTCTGGTATTTGTTCTGATATGGTCTGATTCAGGCCATAGTCTTTCCAATTACTAGTTATGCATTTGAGAGATGGACAATGAAAGAGGATGACAGAAAAAAAAATTGATGCCTTTGAGCTGTGGTATAGGAGAAGTGCACTGAACATCTCATGGACAGCCAAGAGGACGAACTGATATGTCTTGGAGAGGGTGTAGACGGAGTGCTCTCTGGAGACAAGAATGATAAAGCTTTGCCTCATGTACTTTGGACATGTTGCTAGGAGGTACCTACTATTCCTTGGAGAGGGACACAATGTTGAGAAGGGAGGAGGGTCAGTGAAGGAGAGGAAGTCCCTTAACCAGGTGGAATGATTACAGTGATTGCTGCAATGGGCTCTTGTGTGTCAGAAAGTATGAGGATGGCTCAAGAGAGAACAGATCTTTTGTTCGTAGGGTCACTGAGTCACAGATATTTTGTTCATGGGGTCACTGAGTCTGCTAGACTCGACAGCACCTACCAACAACAACACTGTTGTTGTGTACCTTTGTGTCAGAACCGACCCACTGCTGACCCTCACGTGGGTTTTCAGAGGCAGTTAATTGCACAGGAAGAGACTGCCCCTTCTTCTCCCACGGAGAAGCTCGTGGATTTGAACCATGTACCTTTGGGATTGCAGCATGGCTTCTTGGCACTAAGCCACTAGAGCTCCCATAAATGTGTTTATGTACATATGTTTAAAATAAAGTACTTCTTAGAACTATGCTTTCAAAAATGCAGAAGAAAGTCAATGTAATATTATCTTTCAATTTCATCAAAGCAATCTGAGGAGACGGGTATGGGACCACATATACATGATGTGCATTGATACTCTTGCTGCTGTACTAATACTATTCATTGTTGTGGAGTCAAAACTGACTCATAGCTATTGCTCATTAGGTTGCCAAGACTGTAAATTACAGGGAAGGAGACCGACTATCTTTTCCTCAGGAGCCTCTGGTGGATTCTAACCACTAGAGAGACATGGACTTCGGGTTAGCAGCACAGTTCCCTATAGACTATGCCCCCAGTGCTCCCTGTTATTCTTGTTGGCTGCCTGCCATCAAGTGTGCTTTGACTCTTGGTGACCCTGTGTACTAATAAATGAGATCGTGTTCAGTCTTACATCATCGTCTTATTTGCCAGTATGTTTGCATCTGTTTTTGTGGCAATTTTGCCAGTCCAACTCACCAAGAGTACCCCTCACTCTCACTGGCCCTCTATTTCACCAGACGTTAGATCCCCCTTTAGAAATCAATCTTTCCAATAACATATCCAAACCAGTAAGTTGGATAATGCTCTTAGAGGTTTTCACTGTCTTAATTTTTAACAGTACTAAGGGGGAGGGTTGGGAGGGAAGAAAAGTGCAATAATGAATAAATGGAAATCCAAAGTCTCCGTAAATTTTTACTGAAATGAATAATAACTTAAATTAAAAAAGTATTAAACAAACAAAAAACCAGTAGATATAGATCATCAGACCTTTCTTCCTGGTCTGACTTAATCTGGAAACTCAATGAACCTCTTTTGGTGTTTGAAATACTGGTGGCATCGTTTCTAGCACCACAGAGACAAACAAGTCACAACATGACAACTGGAAAGACAAGTGGTGAATGATGTACACAGAAAGCTTTAAAATGATTTATTTTTAACAGAAGATCTCACTTTATTCTATCAAATAAATAAAAATGGACAAATTTTAGGTATGAATATTGCTGAAACTGTTTAAAAATAGTAGTAATATATGCCAACACAGCTCTTTGGAAAACACTTTGACAGTATTTTTAAAGGTATAAATCAAAAGTTAACCTTTAAGAAAGATCAAAGGTTTTAGAATTAATCAGAATTAAGCTCAAATCTCACAAATGCCAATGTCTAGATTTGGTTCCTGGTATGTTACTTACATTCCTTACAATAACCACAGATTTATCCCACAGAACTCAAGTATTATTATTCTCAGTCTTCTCACATAAAGTGCTCCACACATAACTTAAGCAATTATGTTATTACTGTTGTCATTGAGCCAGCTCCAATTCATGGTGCCCATATGCACAAAAGACTGAATTACTGTCCAGTTCTATGTGCTGAATATCTATAGGTAGAGAATGGAGGGGGGCATATTTTTCAAGCTGATAAAAGAGTCCGACAAAATGTACAGAGCCATGAAAATAAGTGACAAAGATGGGAAATGTTTAGACTATAAGGCCCATGGGAAATGCAATGAACTAGAAGGGGAGAAAGAGGATTTCATTAATTCACAAATATTTAATGAGCACCTACTACAGGGAATTGTGCACCTACTAAATACAGAGAATTGTGCCAAATACTAACATACATAAGGAATGATTATCGCTCGAGACCCTCATGGGTCAGTGCAAGAGTCAGAAAAAGAGTATACAGAAAAGTTGCACGTATCCAAGCTTAAAATATCTGAGGTTTTTGCAGCAAGAAATTAGCCAGGATATATTACAAAATGCCATGAATGCTAAACTCAGGAATCTAGGAAAAGAAATTGAATTTAGGCATTTTTAATTCATTCTATGAATTATGGAGCACACTTAGGGTTGTTTGTGGAAGGCACTGACACAATTCAATGGAAAAGTCAACACAGAATAAATACCAGACAAGCTAGAACAAGCTGGGGGGGGGGGGGAGACTAAAGCAAGGAAGCTTTTGTGCAAGTGCCAGTAACATGACACCAGCCTGCACCAGTCCAACAGACAGAAAAAGATGTAGCATGTAAGAGTTATCAATCAGATTGAACTCCACAAAGTCAAAGAAAGGTAATGAAAAATGAAAGTAATAATATCTTTAGAAAGGCAGTAACAACAGAAGGCCTGTTTGCAATAAAGAGAGATAAAAACTAAATATGAAATCTCACTATATAATGATTTTGTTCAATTATATTAGATATACTTAGAGAAATCTGAATATGAAGTGGCTAATGGATGGTGACAAAGAATTACTGTTTATTTTGTTAGATGGATAATGATGTTGTGGCTACTTCCGACATATCCTTACCTTTTAGAAAAGCACATTGAATAATTAATATAGGATCATTATGTCAAAGATTTGCTTTAATGTACCTTCAGAGAACAAGAGAGGTAGGGAATAGATGAAGCAGATGAAGGAATATATTCATACATGTTGTATTTGGAGGTGAATATGTAAAGATTCACTGTAACACTCAACGTTTTTTTAAGTGTGAACATTTTCATTATAATAATATTTTTAAATGAATTCTAATTTTAGACATTTAAAAAAAATGTACTTGACAAACTCTGGCATGGAAATTTAGGACTCAAGCTAATAGAGATGAATGTAGATTTGGGAACCTCTGTCCAGCTGTGACAGCTGAAGGTCTAGAGTGGAAAGCATCTCTAGGCAGTGTGCAAAGTTAAAGGCTATGGTCTGAACAACTAGAGAAAGAGAAAGGCAGAGAGTGAGAAACTAGGTAAGGTGTAGGCGAAGTTAGGAGATAGGAAGAGAATAATCTGAGTGGCTAGTTCATCACTTACAATGTGAATACTGCATAGTAATTTGTACTGCTATAGGACTTGGAGGCTCTTAACAAAAAATAATTTTTAAGTCTTAACTGAGACCAAAAAATGGTCGCTTGCAATTCTCAGATCATGAGAGAAAAAGAAAGCCTATTTTATTTTGTTATTATTTCACATTCTTTATTGACTCTACAATTGTGTTGTTACCTTTGATTCTACAGAATCTTTTTGTTTCTTTTTTGCATTCTGGAATATCAAATAAAAGCTAAACTTGGATGATTTTTGTAAATAAAACTCCAAAGGCCAGAACCACCTTTCAAAATGGAGGAGCTTTTGCCTGACATAAAATACCTTGCATATTTTATATAAAGAATCTTGTCCATCTCCTCCTGTATCTTTGAAATAATCATGGGCTGGGAATGTCCGGTTAATGTCTCGGGTGATAGCACTGTCCTGCGGAGACTCCTGTGGAAACAAAAGGAGAAAGGGTCCAGTCCAGTTTTCAATTACATACATATTTGAGTATATACAAGCGTACTGTCTTTTAAGCTACATGCTTTAATACAGAGTCATGCTACAAAATGGATAAACCTTAAAAAGACATTAAGTTAAATAAACCAGTCTCAAAAGGACAAACATTATATGACTTCACTTACATGAAATAAACAAATGTAGGGAGATCAGAGTTTGTGATTATCATGGGTATCCAGGGGCCAATGAGCTTCTATTAATAGTGGTAAAAGGGCAGTTGTATAAAGGATGACTATACTGAATGTCACTGAACAATACATGTGAAATTGTTGAAGTTGCCAATGTTCTGACACACTTCTCCACAAATCTTGCCAGTTTCACATATTCAGTTACTCCCACAGGAACTTCCTCTTTAGAAACCACTCAATTAAGTCAAAGCAGAATCATATGTAAGGGAAAAGAAATACTAAAGAAAAGCAAGCCGTTTTACTCTATACACTTTATGTTATACTCTTACCGCTTGTAGAGATGTGCAGCTGGTGACCTTTCTCTCATTAAGAGGTTTATTTGTTATTAAAAATGGATCGCTCATAAAAAAATTCTATCCTTTAAGGAAGAAAGAATGATGTTGGGGGGGAAATACAAAAGCTGCTGTTTAACTGATCCTTCGGCATGGAATTCTTTTGCTAGGTTCTCAAAGAGAAAACAGAATTCCCTTAATTGGGGTTTGTCCGAAGGGCAAATAGCATAAGAATGCAAACAGTAATTACTACAAATATTTTATCATCAAATGCCAAGGAGCTTATTCAAACAGGCTGAAAGAAAGTATTTCTTGCTTTTACCAAGCAGAGAAAATGGTTTCATCTTCTATCGGAACAAATGCCAATAATGTCAGCAATCTTTCATAAAACATCAACATTCAGCTACTTCTAATACTTTTCCCACCCAGAACTGTATTTGCTCATACTCTCAAGAATTGAAAACAGAAAACACAACTTTCTATTTGAACAATTCACCATCTTCAGAGTTAACAGGTCCATTTCTCCCTGAACTACATAATATCCAGTGTATCAGCCAATAGCCTGACACTCCCTCCTATTTCAAGATGAAAAACCAAAGTGTTATTCTTTTCTCCTTTTTTCTCCACTAAGAGGCCATGGCACCAGAGACATTATTTCCAATGTCAGAAGGATCTTGGCTGAAAGCAAAGAGTACCTGAGCAATGTCTATTTTTGTTTCATGAACTATGCAAAGATAAGATTGTGTGGATCACCATAAATTGTGGCTAACCTTGAGAAGAATGGGAATCCCAGAACACTTGATTGTGCTGATGTGAAACCTATAGAAAACCTAAGAAGCAGTTGTCAAAACAGAGCAAGAAAACACTTGATGGTTCAAATCAGGAAAGGAGTGCATCAAGAATGTGTCCTGTCGCTATTTCAATCTATATGCTGAACATGCAGATCATTTGGGAGGCAGGAGGAATGTGACATCAGGACTGGAGGAACACTCATCTACAACCTGCATTATGCAGATAATACAATCTTGCTTGCCAAAACTGAGGGGACTTGAAGTGTCTGCTACATAAGGTCAAGGACTGTTGTCTTCAATATGGATTAAAGCTCAACATCAAGAAGACAATGATTCTCACCACTGGGCCAATTGGCAGCACCATAACAGATGGAAAAAAGATTGAAGTTCTTAACAATTTCAGCTTGTGTGAAATCAGCACTCTTGATACCAACAGTCAGGAAATCAAAAGATGAATTACACTGGGGAAGTCTGCTGTCAAAGACATCTCCAAAGTGCTAAAGAGCAATGATGTCAGTCTAGAGACTAAGGTGTACCTAATGAATGCCAGGGTCTTCACAATTAATCGATATGCATCAGAGAAGAATTAATGTTTGAGTTGTAGTACTGGAAGAGAGTATTGAACATATCAGGAACTGCCAAAAGAACAAAAAGGTCTGTCGTGGAGAGGATGAAACAAAGTTTCTCCTTGGAGGCAAGGATTCTGAAGCTCTAGCTCATATACTTTGGGCATGTGGCAAGGAGGGACCAGGCTTTGGAGGAGAATATGCATCAAAGACTGGAGTGACAGTGCAGGAAAGGAAGACCCCAGATGAGATGGATTGACACAGTTACTGGGGTAATGGGGGGAGGTGTGTCAAGAGTCAGTGAGACTGGATAGGGCAGGGTTCAGAGTTGTTGTACATAGGGTCTGAGTCACAGGAGACTCAACAGCATCCAACAACATTATATGGATTGACACAGTAACTGGGGCAATGGGATTAGATGTATAGGAGTCAGTGCGACTGGCTCAGGATAGGGCAGGGTTTAGAGCTACTGAATGAATGAGGGGTGACTCAATGGTACTTAACAATATATGTTAAAACTCTCAATTGTAAAGATTGGCAAATTTTATTATATAAAGGAGATTTTTATAGCAGAAATAAAAAGATACTTAAATAAAAAAGAGATACAAGACAATTCAAGCCTTTTATATTTTAAAAGTCTCCAGTATTACTTTAGACAAATATACAAGCTATTACATAAATGCATAAAAATCCAGGGGTGGACCACAGAGTCAGAGAAACCAGGGTATGAAACTATTTAAATCTCTTACTACCAAAACAACTTAGTTTCTTATGGTCTCTTGATAGTATCTACCTTACAAAGTTGTAGTCAGGGTTATAGTATGTGTTCGTGTTTTGTTTTTTTTTTTAAAAAGTATCTCTACACACACACACACACACACACCCACTTTCTTTGGATCCATAATCAACACCCATAGTAGCAACATTCAAAAAATCCAAAGATGTATTGTACTGGGCAAATTTGCTATCAAGGACTTCTTTCAGGTACTAAAACCAAGAATGTCAAAACAGTAGGGTAGGTCTGATACAAGCCAGGGTGTTTTCAACTGTTTTATATGGAAGTGAATCTTGGACAGTGAATAATGAAGAATGAAGAAAAATTGATGCCTTTGAATTTTGTTGCCAGTACTGAGTATATCATGGCTTGCTATAAAGAACAAACAAATCTGTCTAGGAGAAAGAACTACTAAGGTGTGCTTTCTAGGCAAGAATGGTGAGACTTCACTTCACATACTTTGGGGCCTGTCATGAGGTAGCAGTCCTTGGAAAAGAGGACATCCTGCTGAGAGAGGCAGAGGATCCATGAAAGGGAGGAAGACCAGCAACGACATGCACTGACACAGTAACAACGGACTTGAGCATGGCTCAGAATAGAGCAAATTTTCAGTCTGTTGTGTTCCTTGTGAGTCTGAGTTAACTAGACGACACTTAACAACCACAACATATACATGAAACCCTAAGCACATATCTTACATGTACATTGTTGTGAGGTGCTAAAAGGTTGGCTCGAACACTTAGTGATCATGTACAAAACACTGCCTGCACAGTCTCTATTGCACTTAAGTCCATTGTAGCCTAATGATTTCCTGGATCCATGTTCTCAGATAAAAAAATATTACTACACATACATTTCCTTGCTGTCTAGCTCAGAAAGCATAGCGGTAACAACTCCAAATAGCAACAAGAACATCTACGTCTCTGATCTTGGTATCTACAACTGTTAATCAATAGAAGTTTCTTGAATAAAAGAGGCTCGATGAAGAAATAATTGATTGTGGGAATAAAGTGCAAAATATACACAATAAGCCTGGAACACCCTGAATTGTCAGAGTAATCTTCCCCCACCTTCCTAAAGTAAGCAAACCAGCAACGATGAAGTTATAGCTAAGGGACACAGGAGTTAAATGAAGGAGCCCCAAATGGCCACAGCCAGAATATTCTGAGCAACAAAATAAATAAAGTAGTAATGGGTTATAATGAAAATAGAAATATTCCTAAATTTGGATTACATAGAATAAATGAACAAATAAATGGGATGGAACGAGATAAATCTCTTATGCAGAAGAAATACTAAAAGTTTAGACTTTCTGCCAGCAAAGAGGGAAGGCACAATTCCCACAGTGTGAGCTGCGTTTAGTGACTTCCTTCTTAAAGTAAAATAGGAAAAGGGGGGGACTTCATAGTGCAGGAATCAGAAAAACAGGACCAAATGATCCACATCAACAGTGCTAATTCACGTTGCCATTATGCACTCTTGATATAAAGAAAATAGCCATTTATTGCTTAAGTTGTTTTTTTCTCTAAATTCATATCCTCCGAAGAAAATAAAATCTCAACAGAGGGGCATTCTTCAAAATATCTGATCATCAAAAAACAAGGGTAATTCTGAGAAGCTGTCACAGTTAAGAGGCCTAAGCAGACACAATAGCTAAATATAACAGAGTGTCCTAGATGAAATCTTGGAAGAGCAAGGAGCCATTACAGAGAAAATTAATGAAATCTGCATAAAGTAAGAATTTTCTTTTTTTCATAGTAGTCTTTTAAATAGAAAACTGCTTTAAAATATAAAACTTGTTGTTTGGTGTGTTGTTTTTTTTAAAATACTGCTGTATGTGACATTACCTCCTAATTAGATAAAACAAAAATCCAGGCTAAGAAATTATATCACCCAAATTAATTCTTAGTAATGAATTTAATCTTTTGAGTATTCAATAAGGAGACAAAGACGGAAAATCTTTGTGTCACATTCTCTGGGGTCTGAAGAGGCTAGCCCTGGAAACACCATACTGGGAAAGGTAGAGAGTTAGAGAAAGAGCAAAATCAACAAGATGGTCTGACACAGTGACTAACAGTGGGCCCGAGCATGGCAGAGTTGAAGACGGTGCAGAATAGGACAAGGTTCAGATCTGTTGCTCATATGGTCACTGTGAGTTGCTATCAACTCAGAGGCATCTAAAAACAATAAAATTTTGGACTAAATTTGTATAACGAAAATGGTCAATGAATTGTGGGTATAAGTTCAGTAGTACCTTAAAGAAAGAGGGTACATTTGTATGGTAAGTTTCTAATAATAGTGAAGCTTTCCTTTAAGGTTCTTCTAAAGGATTTTGTACTAAA